ATAAAAGTAACAGGTGGGTATAACACAGTACAAGGGCACACAGTTGCCTAGCCAGGGGAGGGTCAGGTACAGGTAGTGGACCTGGGCCCAACTCTGGAGTCGGACCGACGCTACTCCTGTTGGCGATGGGAAGCGAGCTTACTAAGTCAACCCCCGACCTCAGTTCCATCACCTGTCCACCTTCAGCTCCTGCAGCCTTTGTGGGTCCTCGGTGAGAGCATCCACGCAAGTGTCTAGAGTGCTTGACACACGATAAGCACTGCCCGTACATCCCATAACCAAGGGGTCCGAGCAGGGAGACAGTTGGGGGCAGGAACAGCATGGTGAGGCCTTGGGGAAAAGGACAGAAGCTTGTGTGAGCCACACGGAGGCAAGCACCTGTCTGCTGGGGCTCGGTCACTGGAGTCCTGAACCCTGGAAGAGTGCCTGAGACAGAGAGGCTGTGGAACAGTTACTAAACGAAAGGATGACTGAACGGGGGGCAGTGTGCTTAAAACTGAGTAGGGACTGGGCAGTTGGGTGGCATACTGGACAGAGCACTGGATCAGGGTCAGACTCTGCTCAAGTCCCCGTCCTGCCAGCAGCCAGTGGGACACACCCCTGGGCTGTGGCCCTCTAGGGCAAGATGAGGAGCATGAAGGAGACAGCGCCGACTCTTTCAACCCCAAAGCTGTAGAGCTCAAGCGACGCGTGGTCTTGGCCGAGTCGGACCTGCCTTACACGAAGAAACTGACCGGAGCCTTCTTTTACTCCAAACACTGCCAGCACTTCCTCACCTCCAGCACCTGTCTCGCATTCCCCTTTCTCATCCCCAGCACTGAGAAAGCACGAGAAATAATGGACCTACGAGATGACAGACAAGGATCTGGAACCCCCAGGCTCCACTGAGCTCTCCTTTTCTCAGAAGCTCCCACCGCCTCATAAAGGTGCCTGGTGACCGTCACGTCTCCATTTTACGTTCATCTCCCATCTCCCACTCAAATTTGGTCTCCAGCTACCGTCCCAACACATAGGACGCCAAGAATCTATAAATATTCCTTCATTTTACTGGCTCTGAATGGGACTAACTGAAGTCAGTAGAATTTAGCTCTGCTTCTGTGCCATCAGATTAATTTTACTGAATTTACTGGAAAGGCAGTCAATTAGCAAAAGGAGCCAGGCTGAAAGCTCATCCAGCTCACCACGTGATCTCCAACATGTCACCTGACCCAAGGGTTTCTGCAACAGAACCTACCAGAGAAGGTGAAACACATAATTTCCACTTCGAAAATCAGAGTGAAAGAGAAGAAAAGGAAACTAAGAGATTTCCAAACATCCAGGAGCTATTTTTGGAAGTGAACAACTTTACCACTTTTCTTAAAAAAAAAAAAAAGATACTAGACCAAGAATAAACCAAGAAGTGGCTGTTGATAATCTAAATGGAAGACAATTCTTACAGGAGCCCACCCTCTATGGCCTTAAAAGCAAGACATTCCCCCATGTATATGCAAACACTACCTATAATCTTAAAGAATGAAAAATGGAGAAATCATTATCTATTTCTCAGAAAGTTTATACAATCCCAAAATAGACTCTGCAAGGTAAATATAGTCAACCTCCTATTAATTAACACTGAATAAAGGTTCCAAGAAGGTGGCAATGATGTCATCTGGACCTGTTATGTGGGGCTCCAACCTGGCAAATTCTGGAACCATGGCCTGTTTTCTGCTTAAAGCAAAGGACTTTTAACACACCACAGAATTCCTCCATGTGGCGCAAATCAAATCCCATCTCGTGAACAAATGATCCCTAAAAGTTTTTGTCATGACATAATCTGGGCCTTCTACCATCATGCAGATCATTTCTACTCTGCTTTGATCTTAAACAGGATATGGCCCACCATTCTTAAACTGCTAGAGGTTAGCATTCCCAGTACTATACAATCCCAACTGAGCTATCGGGAACAGAACATGAAGTTTCAACCGCTCAGTCCATCTACAGGATAGTCTCTGCACAGCCCTGCAAGAAGCAGACATATACACAACTGTCAAAGGCACTGCATTTTTCCAAAGGAGGCCAAGAAGTTCTTCCCATATTTTCCACCTAAATGGTAAATAAATACCTTTTTATAAAGTGGCCGTTGAACTCTGAGTTAATATACATAGAATACCTATGTGCCACTAATGTCCACACATGACTCACCCACAAGAAGCTACCAGCCATAGAAATGGTGAATTAACTTTATATTTTTTAACAAAGCTTTTGGGTATGATCCCCAGAAAACTATGAAAATTATATGCACAGTACTGATCTGCAGAGATAGTGAATTTAAACCTAAGGTGGGTATATAAACTAAAGAAATTCTGTTTTGAAAATACTGAGATTTTGTACATATCTGTAGCCACATTTGTAAAGATGTTTCCTTAGGTTTGCAACCTCTTTGTTGTAACTTGAAAAAGAAAGTACAGCTACGATAATTCACCAACGTGCCCTGAGCCGGCAATATCGAACGTTGCTAAACACAACATGGAAGGGAATTACTATAAAATTCTAGAAGAGATTGTTTACAACCCTTGGCCCTCAGTTAACTTGCTTACAGCAGAATATTTTATGCTATTGTAGTTTTAATAAATTATATATGAAATGATGTTTTAAGTCAGCAACAATTTTCACCTCATCTACTACCTTTATCTCTTCCTCCATAACTTCATTTTCTTTAAAAACCTATTTACTTCTTTGCCTCTCCTGTCAGTTCTCCATTTGGAAGCTGTTTGGGGAAAGTCCTCATTTCTTGAACACCGCTTTCCAGTCGCGTGAATCAAACGCGACTCAAAAAGGGTTTTAACTGTCATATGCACATGGAGAAAATGTGGTGTCCCGACACACAGCTTTTTCCACGCCATAAAAATCAATCACTTTAAAGGATACTTTAAAGGATAACCAGTCACCTATAAAAAATTGTCAGGGCTCTGTTCTGAAAGAAAAAGAAGAATGACTATTACACCATTTACACCCTTCCGTAGACACCACTTAAATGTCTGTGGCTTGCTGAACATTCCATACATATTTCGGGCAAGGTATTCTGGGAGCTGAAGTGCAAGCTGTCCCCTGCTGAATTTTCACTCACTATAAAAACAATGTCTCATAACAGTATACACATGTTTTTACTTTACCGAAAAATGTAAAATATCCACTTTTGTTCACTCGATCAACACTTTCAGCACTAGGAACAGGACTTGTTAAAAATCTATAACATAAGTGATGCCTGAAAAGGGTGAAAATGTCATTCAGTAACCCAGATTTCTGGAAAGAGGAACATAGGAAATGTGTATGAAACACAGAGAAAGGAAGATTCTACAAGCTGATTTCTGTAGGGTCTGCTCACCTACGACTTGGGTTGTACCATTAAAAATGGAAATTCTTACATGTATACTTCTCATCACGAATCCCCACTTCCATGTAACCACAACTGTTTTACATTACCCTCATAAAATGAGTCTCAGCCTTTTCTAAGCAAAACAGTATTTTTAATTGGTTCATTTTCCAGTTGTTTGGATTTTTGACAGACACACAGCACAAAAGGGCACCACTCTCCAAGCAGCTCTACCAACTCCAGAACCTTCTAAGGCTTGATCAGATAGCTGTGGCTCTAGCCTTTGGTTAAAATTATAATATGATCTCACCTGATTTTCAAAATAACTAAGCATCTTAATAAGCCATAAAAGTGTGCTATCATTTATCTAAGTTTCTGAGTGTAGAAGTTTGCAATGTTCCAAGAGACTGTTAGGAATCATGACCCTTTTGCCTTTCTTTGTTTTTCCCCATCTGAACCCAGAGAAATCTTCAAACAATAATTCAGCAGCTTCCCTCCTCAAAAGTTGGTTTTCAAGCGCCAGTGCCATGCAAGCGCTGCCTTTCCTGTACAGGTAGGAGGAAGCAGGAGCGATGTCACCATGCTGGGCCCTTTTCAAGTCTTAAAATCACTGGGAAGCTTGCAGTATTTCCTTTCTGGCACTCAGGCCCACCGTGGAAAGAAGCTGCTCCAGACAGGACAAGATACCAGATAATCACTGGAAACGCTCGGTTTCAACAGAATTCCAACTCCACAAAAAAAGGCATCTCTACAAAAGCAGTTGACCCACTGAAATCAGCAGACTATCGAACAAAAAGTTAAGGAAAAACGTCATTACGTGAATTTAATTCATCTCAATCTGGTAGTGCTTTTAGAAGAATCCCTTTTTCACTCCATAGGATTTACTTACATGAATAATACGATAATGTTCTATTCGTATGTTGCACAAAAAGGGCACCTAAAATACAACTTTTGTTTTCCATTTATCCCAAAAGCATGTGGGTCTAATCAGTCCATTCTGGCCAGAGTACACAAGGCTATTTCCGTCAGAATTGTAACTGAGTTTTTAAGGCGCTAAAGAGTAACCATCACAGTTTGATGGTTACCCCTAAAGAATCGGGAATCCCTGAAGTGTCCCATCTGGCACAGTCTTCGAATGGAAATAAGGCTGAGCCAGCCAGACAAGGAACCCACACCACGAAGCTGGGGCTCAAGTTTGTGCACCCAGATGACGGCTCATCTGGCCACCGCGGGACCGGGGGCGCCTGTGGGGCCACAGCCGGGGGCGGTGGGCCACAGAGGCCCGGCAGGGATGGGCGAGGCCGTGGCGGAAAAAGGAAGAGAGGGCCATCCGTCAGCCTCTGGAGAGGAAATTCCAGGCGCCCAGCTCCCAAGGCATCGGTCAGCGGGTGATATGAGGGGACCAAGTCAGAGTGTCCGCCCGCGGTGGAGGCCGGAGAAGCCGGGGCTCCGCAATCCGAGGGCTCGAGGCCGGGAGAGGGTTCGCCTTGATTCCCGGCCAGGGCCCCTGGGATGGGGGCGCACGGATCCCCGCCCGGGCCCCGGGGACGCACGATCTTCGCCCAGACCCAGAGGCCTCCCGGTGTCCTCTCCTTGGGCCCGAAGGATGGGGCGCCCCAATCCCAGCCCGGGCCCGCGCCCCCCTTACCGGTCGCGCGGGTCGATCCACGATGTCTGGCGCGTGTTGTGGTCTATGTAAAAGACGCGGCCGTCGTAGTCGCGCGCCTCCTCCCAGCCAGCGGGCAGCGGCAGCTCGGCGCTCTCTCGGGCCCGCGGCGGCGGTGGCGCGGAGGGCGCGGGGGCCGCGGGGACCGCGGTG